AGAAGAGAAGAGAAGAGAAGAGAAGAGAAGAGAAGAGAAGAGAAGAGAAGAGAAGAGAAGAGAAGAGAATTGATAAGAAAATAAGTGTAGAGGATAGGAAAAGAAAAGAAAAGAGACGAGAAGATAAGCAAAGAGAAGGAAAATAAGAGAACAAGTTGACAAATTGAAACACAATCCTACCGACTGACGGACAAATAGACGCATCGACTGACAGACTGACGGACAAACGGAAACACAAACAGAGTTATTTCGTTTGAGATGATGACGAAATGGTAGTGCAATTCTCCCACAAGTGTGTTTCCAACGCGTTTCACACTTACTCCTCCTTCCCACAACGTAATCTAATCTCGACTGGACTGAACTGCAGTCCCGACCTCGTCCAAACTGGGCTCATCAACACTTCGCGCGGGACTCGAACCCGGTTTTCGCTGGTCCGGCGTCTCGACGCTTCGACCACGTCGCCAGAAGGCCACAAGGACCCTTTCGTCAAAGGGCAAATGTGAAGATACAAAGTCCAAGAAGATGTGGCTCCCATTTTGGTGGCAGTCTCCTTTCGCTGTATCCAAGTGGTCCGACCTCGCTCTCGCAATCTGGTCACGTTGTCAGGCCAGCCCAGTTGGACGCAACTTGTCCAAAGTCCTCGGCTAAAGTAGTCATCGCAACGGTGTCTGCTAAATGTCTGGGAATGTACCAAGTCCACGGCCAATGGCTTGCAATTAACGCAACCACGAGAGCAGACGACCTTGGACAAGATGAATCCAACCAAGTCGCCATGACAACACGACCAATTTGTGAAAACGAGGTCAGATTACGTCAAGCAAGCAAGGCTGCGTGAAATCAAATCGAAACATGAGGCTGACGCATCAGATTGTCACCTTAACCGAAATAGATTTAATAAACGTCAAATATATTGTCTACTGGTAGCCTCGGCAACCCACCCATAAAACGGACAATAAAGACAACTGACTGACCGACTGGACAGACGAATAGACCGACGACTGTCCTGCAGGTCAACATACCAACAGAGCAACCGATCGACCGACCGACCAAATGGAAGAATCGTCAAGGGAATGTGAAAAATTGGTCTTTAATAATTTCTCGTAATTGCACATTTTCACTTTGAATCAAAAGTGAGCTGAAGCAGATTCGTACTTTGGCTCCATCAGACTTCTCGCTACAACACACACTCCCACCGGCACGACTCACCTCCCTCTTTGGCCAATCAGTCCAGTTTAGGAATCACACGGAAAACCCACTGACCGCAAGCCTCGATCCATCCATCCTTCCGTTGGTCTTCAAATGCATACATACATTTTGAAAAGGCCCACGCAACTGTGGTGCATTCACGATCGTATCTGCCGGAATGTGCGCCCAACAACGACGCTTTGTCAAGTCCCAACTCAGAACATACAGTCATTGTCATTTCATCCGGGCCCAATGGGCCAAGGGTACCAGTTTTACCTTCAGGCCAAAAAAATCGCTGCTCAACTATGAAGAGATGCTGAATAATATAGAATAATATTGAGAACATCGCAGCAAACGAGTCCAGGCTCGCTGACTGATTTTGCGTATTCAAGTTGAATTTTGAGACTATCAGTAAATCAGTAGTATGACATGTATTCACATAATTTCGTTTGAGGTGATGAAGGACTGGTAGTAGAATTTTGCAGTCATTAAATTAAAGTTAACATTTCCATTCGATTTCACATTGCATTTTTTCCCCAAAAGGTGTTCCTATCTTGACAAAGCAAGGCTATGTGAAATCCAATGGAAATATCATGTCTACTCATCAGATTGTGGAAACATAAAAATACCACATCTTCATCGCATTACTTTTCGTGTGTAAGTAGAGTTTCGAAGCTGCCAGTTAATCAGTAGCATGAGCTGTATTCTCCCTTTTGTGTTTGAAGTGGGCAAGGACTGGCAGTAGAATTTCCCCACAATCGTATGAGTAGAGCTGACGTTTCCATTCAATTTCACACAGCCTTGCTTTCCCAAAATGTGTTCTCATCCCGGCTGGAGTGGACTGCAGTTTCGACCCAAGTGGGGGTCGAACTGTGAAACTCAATGGAAACGTCGACTCCAATCACACCATTGTGGGAAATTCTACTACCAGTCCTTCATAAGCCTGGACGAAATCGGGTGAATACAATTAGAGATGTATTCAACCAATTTCGTCCAAGGTGATGAAGGACTGGTAGTAGAATTTTCCCACAATGGTGTGATTGGAGTCGACGTTTCCATTGGGTTTCACTCCAGCCCGGATGAGAACAACTTTTGGGAAACCAAGGCAATTTGAAATTGCATGGAAACTCATATGATTGTAGAATTTTCCCACAATCGTATGAGTAGAGCTGACGTTTCCATTCAATTTCACATAACCTTACTTTGCCAAAAGATGAGAACAACTTTTGTGAAAGCAAGACTACGTAGGAAAATTCTTCTACCAGTTCTTCGTCACCTTAAACGAAATCGGGTGAATACATGTCATATTCCTTGACTGATTCTCTATTTTGATGATGCCATTCGCATGCGAGGCGAAAACTTTGCACATTGTCACCCTACTCGGCAAAGGTTACCATGGAGACACTGTCAGCGAGAATGTTCTGGTGACTTGATGTGGCGTCGTCTTTTTGTGGGATCCACTTGCCAGTTTTTGGCATCAAAACGCGACTTTCCCTCAAAATGAATGTGGATTTCGCCACTAAAGAAATCCAAGTAATGTCAGCAGAAATGAGGACCGCAATTTGTGGAATCATATTTTGATGGCAGTCCCATTTCGCCGTACATGAATTGGTCCGAGCTCGTCTTTGCAAATTGGTCGTGATGTCAGTGCGAGTTGTCTGCGGCAAGATGAACAAGGACAGGCTAAATTTCCCCAAAAATGAGACATCTCCAGACAAGGTGCATAGAAGCAAGTCGGGCAGTGGGATACAAAGTTGGGGAGGAGGCGGATGTATCAGGAGCAAAAAAGGAGTGATGCTAGATTGGTTGATCAGATCTTCGATTGAGGTATCAATGCGACGTGGTTGCTTGGCGATAAGTCGTTTGATTTAAAGAATGCCAATTCCAGCTAGGCCCATACTGTCCAAAGCGGAGAATTGTCATAATTACTGTATTTTTGAATCAAATATTGTTTTCGTGACTACCAGTAAATCAGTAATATGAGATGTATTCATCCAATTGTTACACCAACAAGCCATTACTGATAATATTCCCACCAGCATACTTATGAGTAGTGAGAGGCTAAACAAATACAAATTTCATTTCTAGTCTAAATAGAGCGAAAACATTTCATAAGTCTTAATTGCATCTACAATCCCAATAACACCAAACATACTTACATATATACATATAGACACACAAA